GCACTTGTGGTCCCCCTGCCCCACCCCATTTTTTGTTTTTTTTTTTGGTGGAGATGAGACCCAGGGCTCCTCACATGCTACTCATGTGCTCTACCACTGAGCCCTGCTCCCAGCCCCAAGGATTGCTTCTGGAACCAGGAAATTCAGAAGACTCAAAGAACAGGCTCCAGCTTTTAGGAAACCCGTCTTTAGGATCTAAGCAGGGTCCCACGACAGCTGCCCCAATCTCTTCCAAAGGGAGTGCTCCCAAACTCCCCGCATGCCCCCAGCTCTATGTGAAGGCTCCATGACACCTCCCCAAACTGCCACCTGGGCTCAAAATTCCCAATACATGGGTCTTTGGGCCGCAAACAGCCAGACCATGCCAATGCAACCGAATGAATGAATGCATAAATGAATATTTGGGATAATATCATGAACTCATGACTACCAATCAAATAGGACTGTTCTTATCAGATGCTATGGTGAGGATCTTACAGCATCTCCCAAAAAAGCATGTGTTGAAGGTTTGGGAAAGGAGCTTTATTATGAAAGTAATCTCTCTCTCTCTCTCTCCACCCCCACTCCTCCCCATTCCCCTCCTTCCTTCCCCCTCCCCTTGCCCCTCCCCTTCCATCCCCCCTCCCACTTCCTGGCCACCACGAGGTGAGCAGCCTTCCAATTTGATGCACATCCACCATAATTGTGCAGCCTCACCACGGGCAGTGGAATCAAACATCTCTGGACTAACCTCTGAACCACTGAAACCATGAACCGAAACAAATGTTTTATCCTCTTGAATTGATTTTTCTCAGTCGTTGTGCCACCGTGATGGAATACTAACACATCAGGGTAGATGCCCATCAGCCACCCATGCATCTCCCATCTGTATGTACCTCCTTGCTCCCGAAGTGTCATTCTGTCATCCCTTTTAAACAAGCCCCCTCAGTAGGACACAAGTAAAGAGTTACCGACTCTTTTTTAGAGTTTTTATGAGTCCATCTTTGCAGCACATAATGATTACATGCATTGTGGGGAGCTGGTACATGTACATAATGCACCTTTTTTATTTCCTCCCTTTCCCCTTCTCTTTTCTCTTCCTTCCCTCCATCTCGGCCCCTGCCCTTTTGCAGAAGTTCTCTCCCCTTCTTCTTATTATGTGTTTTTTAATGTTCTCTTTAATTTTTGTACACTTTGGGTTTCTCATATACAAGGACGTATTCTTCCCAGCTTGCATCAGTGAATGGGGCTCACTTGGCTAAGTCATTTAGAATACAAGCAAATAACTACTTTTCGTCTTCAAGACTCAGTATTTTAAATCTTTCTCTCAGTGCAGGCAGGTGAATTTGAAGCGAAGAGATCAGTTTGTGGCTGTTTGTTTGTGTTTCTTATCAGAGAAACTATGATAAATCAGAAAGGATTTGCTGAAGCTTTAGGACATGACAAAGGCTTTCTTATTTCTTTTTTCAAAATAAGGAAAATCATATAAATACATCTGACATGCTGAATTAGGAGGGTGGAGTCGTCATATTTAACTATTAATTAATTTTCCAAATAAAAATTTAAGCATATGATTTTATAAAATGTTGGTTTATATTTTAGCAAGTTATACAATAGCATATTATCATCATAGTATTCTCACTTGCCATGTTTGATCTTGATTTTTTGGCATTGGAAAGATTTTTAAAACAAATTGAATACATCTTTAGGTAGAATTTAAAGTATCCTTCTCCAAACGAACATATTTACTAGGTGAAAATTGCATTAAGTGACAATCCAACTTGAGTGTCTAGAATGATTTTTTACAGAGACCCTAGGGTTAAAGAAAGGAAATTTCATTAGTAATTGTGCCTGCTAGTATCTCAGTGGTCTTATAAGTGATGGCTCGCTAATCTGATCAGATGGTTTTTTTTTTCATTTCTGAAATGAACTCGCCAGTCCATTTCTGAAGCGTGTCCACTCTGTGTGCCCATTGGCAACATTTGAGTAGGTAAATTGGAGGGGATCCAGCAACCTCCCTCAAATGCCTGAATCACAGAAGCCGGGCTGGACCATGGTATCTGGGGGGTATAAATGAGGTACAAGGGGAGTTGTCTGGTGTGGTCTCTGCAGTTGGTCTGAACAGGTGTGCCGTTCGGGGGCTAGGTCTTGGGTTGTCTAGCCTTGGGTTGCATGGGGTCAGGGGTTATTGCCTCTGCAGTAAGTTCTTGGGTACCTGGCAAATCTGGGAAGCCCTTTGTGGGGAAAGAGGGGCCAAGAATATGTTCTTTATGAAATTTATGGCTGCAAAAGATAAACGCACCTGCATCTGGTTTCTCTTATTGAAAACACATTGAGATTGTTGCAAAGAGTGGAAAGCCCAGCTCCCTAGATTCTGAAAGTGAAGCACACAGGGACCCGGAGGCTAGCTGGGATATGTCACACATGGAACCACATAATCAGCTGATTGTCCCAAGCTGCCTCGAGGACCAGGGCTAGACAGACTACTCGCTGGTGACATCCAGGGATTGTGACCATGAGAGTCACTGAGAACAAAGAAGTTGGGAACAATATTCAAGATGTATGACACATGAAAAAAGCATTCCAAAGGTTTCAGGTCTGCCTAGGAATAAATCCAGAAATCACACTCTTTTCTTATTCGGTGAAAGGTGATTTTTCCCAATGGGAAGCTGTACAATGTTGAATAGAAATGGCTTTCATGGCCCAGTTCATGTTGGCACGGGGGACTTATTTAGGTTTTAAATGCAGTCTGGGAAAGTCACATACTGCAGCTGTCTTGCATACTGTCCCACGCCGTCCAACCTGGCTGGCTCCCACCTACCGCCGTGCATGGTACTTTTGCCGAAGAACAACCACGAGGCCACTCATCCTGGCTGTTTATGGCCCACTGTAAAACTGTTCAGTGGTTTTGCAACAATAGTTTTGAGAACTTTCCATGAATTGGCCACTTTTCTTAGCACTCGAATCCCCAAGATATAAAAAATACACAGCGCTCATGGTTCACAGTTCAGTGGGTCAGGGTGTGTCTAAGTTTAGTTCATCATTGTGCATATCTATCTTTTCTCTTTGAGTTCCCACTCCTGGATCAACAGCAGAGGGGACACTGACACCAAATGGCCCATCGTCTCCTCGGTGTTTCCGCGAAGGAGTAAACGGGGCGCCTGAAGGCTTTAGAGGAACTATGACATAGTTAGTTTGGACCTGTCCAAAGCCATCTTGACTGCTTGGGCCTTTGTTTCTTCATCTAACAAAAGGAACCTGTGTCACAGGTGGTTTCTATGGTCCTGTCCAATTCCCACTTTCTAGGATTATGTACCCCAGGTGGGCACCTAGCAGTCACACAGTGTTCAAGGAGTTCCGCTGCGCTGATGACATGGTGCTAGGACTACTACCAATCTATTGCTGATGATGACATGACAAACAGCCTTCTTTTGTTTTGGCTTTTGATGCCGGGGAAGCAAGGCTGAAACCAGGGCTTTGTGCAGCTTAGTAGGTGTGGCCACTCTGAGCTACAACCTCAGACAAGCTCTGATCCCTTTCCCTCCCCTTCCCTCTCCTCCTCTCCCCTCCCCTCCCTGTCCCTTTGTCCCTTTGCCTCTCCTCCTCTCTCCTCCCTCCCCCTTTTCTTTTCTGTACTAGGGAGTCAATCCCTTGCCAATAACTACATCACCCGGCCTTCAATTTTATTTTAATAAAAAGACAGCATCTTGCTAAGTTGTCAAATGGCCCAGTCTAGCCTCAAATTTGAAATTGCCCTCCCTCAGGCTCCCCAAGTGCTGGGATTACAGGCATGTGCCACTATACATGGCTCAGCCCCATTTCTTGATCCTGAAAACTTATGTCTGCTGGGTGATGGTTTCCACTCTTTCCCACCAATGGAAGTCTCTGTATAACTTATGGCACATATAATATCTGCTTTGTTTTGTGAATACTTTTAGGAGATGTCCTAATTCTGAAGACACGTTGGATCACCTGACCATCACTGAAATAATTGTGTAACTTGACTAAGTACTCTAGTGTCCAGTGCCCGAGTCCAATTAATTGTCATTTTCTTGTATATGCAATGCACTCTGATTTTTGTTTGTTTCTTTGTGTTAATGGGGCTTGAATCTGGGGTCTTCTCAGTGAGCTATATTCCCAACTCCATGGTGTTGCTTCCCCTCCACCCCCACCCAGCTTTCGCATGAGATAGGGTTTTGCCAAGTTGCCCAGGCTGGCCTTGGATTTGCTATCTTCCTGCCTCAGCCTCCTTAGTAGCTGGGGTTAAAAGGGTCTGGTTTATGTTTTATTAATTTAGCTAAACATTCTAGTTTAGCATAGAAGTGCAAACTGTAACAATGTCTGATTGTGATATATTTTCTCATTCTTAAACAATAGTGTTTAGCAAAATGTCTGGCATCAAATAGCAAACACGTTAATTTTATCTTCCAAGGGACAATTGTGAGTTAAATAAATGGTTCTGTTTGTTAAATCTGTCGCATAAATTAACAAGTGGACATGGTTTAAAAAAATGGGAAGCTATCCAAGCTCACTCTCGAAAGAACCGTACATTTAAAAAGAGATAATACTAGCCCAGGGATTTAGCTCAGTGGTTCTGGTGCCTGCCTCCTGAAAAAAGATAATACTAGGCTTTTGATTTGTTAAATTATTAAAACATTTGAGAAGTAGGACTATTGTTTATTAGAGTGTGTGTGGTGGATGTGAATTATAATTTGGTAAGCTGTTTAGCAATGTGTATCAAATACCCAGCATATGTGCATATTCTTCATTTGGCAATGTCACATGAGGAAGTGTATCCTGATGATACTGAACATTAAAAGCTGTTGAAGTATCAAGTAGTAACACATATGAAAAAGATATCTGCTAAGGTCTTCATCAAAATAAGAAATATCCCAAAATAGAAAAATGTTCAGCAGTAGAAAAACATGCAAGCAAAAAAAAAAAAAAAAGAATGAGATAGCATATCACACAATTGTTGAAACATTTGGTGTGGGGATGCTAACATAAAATGAAAATCGGATTAATAGATTTTAATAAATATGGAAGAAATACAAAGTAATACAGTTGATAAATATGCAATCATAAAGGGTATAAGGAGAGGCCACATACCAGATAATTGCTGTCAAGAGCTAGCAGACTACATATTTTCATTATCAAAATTGCTATAAGTAGCATGTCTTAATTTTATAACATAATAAAATTAAATTCATTTCTTTTAAAAATAAACGTTATTAAACCATGTTTGTCTTTCCAGCATTCACTTGGGTGGTCAGCCTGGACATGGATTTGTTCTGAATACGCTGTGGATGCTGGTGCATAATACACAGTGATGTATCTTTCCATTCCCACCGACCTGGCTTCTAGCTGTTACCCAGTTCACTCAGTAACTTTCAAAAAGAGATACAGCAATTGTGGTTAATAAGTCATCATGAGAACACAGAAACCACCCAGAGATGCCGTGGAAAGTAATCTATGTGGACAAGATTTGGACAAGTCATTTAAAGCCCCCCATAGCAAAGTGGAGGTAACTTCTGCCTGGAGGAAGGATCAGCCATATAAATCTGTAACAGGGCCCAGCTGTGGAATGCAATGACTTTCTCACTGCCCTTAGTGTTGGTGATGGAATTGTGAGGCTTGGTTTTGTACTTACAAAGGAGGAAGAATCTCTCAAATTATAATCTGATCACATGAGTAACATCAGACAAAAGATTGTGTGAAACCCCAACAATCAGATCACAGAGAGGGAAACAGGACCACTGACTTGATCATAATGAAAGAAGACAGAAACAGATAGGAAAACTACATGTTACTGATGGCTAGTGCTTAACAGACCCGAGCTCAGGTGAGATAAATACTCACATTCACGTGTGGTTCAGTTCTAGTTTTCAAAACCTGCGGGCCTAAAAAGTTACAAAAAACATTTGGAGGGGCCATAATCTCAAGTTTTATGTCATTACGCTTTGGGAAGCTTTTCAGGATAGTGAACAAGAAAGAAGATTAATAATTGAACTCAGAGGGTAATATTTGACTTACGTCTTACAGATTAAAAGCTTTCCCCGGTTACTCTATGTAATTCTCCCCAAAGGTGTTGACATCGGACTACATGTGTCATGTTTTCACAGGTCGGAGAGAAGCGCTGAAGAATCAAATCAGAGGTTCGTACAGTTGTGTGTTCTTCAGACAAACATTGAAAACAACACATTACTTACATTTTAAAATGCATAACAAGTTCAATGAGTAATTATAGAAATTAAGCAAAATAACTGCCCTTATCCCCTCTCCCCCATCTCTCTACCGTCTCAGTGGTAATAACGTGTTCTGTGGTACACATTCTGGGGGCACATCTGTTAAGATGCACAGAATTGCGTTAAATGTACACAGTTTACATGCTGGTGTGATGGTTCAGATTGAGAATGTCCCACCAGATGCTCCTGCACTCAGGGGCGGGGCCTTGGGCAGGTGGTTGGATCATGGTGATGCTGAATGTGCTGTTGGAAGGGAAGGCCTGGTCAGAACACATGGGTCATGACCTGGAAGGATTTGTCGCCCTTCTCGGCTCTTCCTTCTCCCTCTGCTTCCTGGCCACCTTGATGTGAGCAGCTCTCCTCTGCCTTGGCCCCTCCCATGCTGTTTCTGCCTTGGAGCCAGCCAACCCTGGACAGAAACCATGAGCCGAAATAAACCTCTCCTTCATTATCTTCTAGTTATTGGGTATTTTATCCCAGCAATGAAGAAAATAAGGCAATTCATTTCTTTCATTTTTCTTCATTTAAAAACACATAATAAACAACTTTCTAAGGCAATGGATTTATCACTCCGTTTTCCTCACAATCTTCTTTACATTTCTTTCTGCTGATATACAATTTGTTTTACCAGGTCTCTGTCGTATATGGAGTTTCTGGGTTATACCATTACAAAAAGCAGGCTGCATGGTATTACCCTGGGGATATATCCTGCATTATTGTCATAAGAATTTCTGACAAATAGTAATAAATTTCTTCGGTCTCAGGTGTGCGAATTTTAAATGAATATTCTCTCAAATTTCATTTTGTGTGCATTAATAGTGTACAAAGATACCAGCTGTCTCACACTCTCTCTAATGTTGCATCTTACCCGTCTTTGCAGAGTTGTTTTCCGTGTGATAGGTTAAAGTGGTATCCTTTTTCCTATGTTTGTATTTTTAAATTTTTACTTTGTTTCTATTAATTTAAGCATTTCTTCTATGAGCATTCTATGTGCAATTTATAATTCTGAGAATTGATTATTGTATCCCTTATTTCTTTTTATCTGATGGGTGCTCTTTTTTTCTATGGATCTGTGAAATTTTTGTGTGATTGTGGAGATCAGAACAAAGTTATGATTTGATTGATTCGTTGATTGATTGTGGTACTGGGGATCAAACCCAGGGATGCTCTACCACTGAGCTACATCCCCAGCCCTTCTTATTTTTTTTTTATTTTGAGATAAGGTCTTGCCGAGTAGCTAAGTTACCCAGGCCAAGTTTGGACTTAGGATCCTCCTGCCTCAGCCTTCTGGGTTTAAAAGCAGCCAGCTAAAGTTCTGCATTTTTTCCTTATAATTATTAGGTACTTTTCATTTCTCCTATGGTCAGGCCCTATTAAGGGAAGAAAGAAAGTGCTGGATTTTTACTTACTGTACTATACCCAAAATGCAATAATTTGAATTTAAAGAACCATTGAAAATAATTTCAGACTTCAACCAAAATTTGGTTCTCAAATCTCATATCAGGGATGCTATAGATAAAGTGACAAGTAACACTGCCAAATGTCCTGGCTAAACAATGGATCATTGTCAGTTCATAGGGGGAAATCGTGATACAAATCTCCTAATGAACTAATGAAAACATAGCTATTTTTAATTAGTGGAGGGAAAGCTATTGATAGTACAGGAAAAACTACTTAATCATCTTTTCCCGCTTTCTAACACTTTGGTATTATGAGAATTAGGTATGTGCAGAGGACATATTTTTAAAATAAATCTGAACAAATGATTTGTAAGTGCTGAAATTAATTTTTCATTGTCCAATGTATGCTTATCTTACTAATATACAAGCTTTCCAGAATGCGGCTCACAAAATTCTTTAATCCTTTAGCTTGCATAACATGTAAACAAACCTAACTTGCCTTCACTCTCTAATATTCAAAGAATGGAAATACTTTCCATGTCAAGAAATGTCCTCATGTCGTCTCTCATTTCTGTGGCTCCTCCCTTAATTCACCTGTCATGGCAAGCAGCTTGGCAGTATCTTTTTCATGGAAAAGAAAGAAAATCTATTTTCTGCTGCGATTACTGAAGTCACTGGTTATAACCTTGTCTCTAATTTTCCCTGTATTATGTTAACTTCATATGTCCTGACATCTGCTTGAACAGAAAGGGACCTTCATGATAGATACAGTCTTAGAGATTGGTTTCAACATCTTGGGAAAGTTATGACAATTCTTTAAGACTTTTCCCAGATGATGCCGTTATGTTTATATGCAAGAATATTAATTTATTCAAATATATATATACCTCCTTATCACATGAAGAAAGTTAATTATGCCTTAGTGACCAAATCAGCCCTATTCTTGAGCTAAATGCAGGATGGATTATATTCATAGTAGGCAATCACATCTGAACATGGTTGGAGGAATATGGTTGTAAGAACCGAACAAGTTGGGCTTTATTCTCCCTCCCTGAAGGAGACATCTCTGTAATTGACCTGGAGAACTCATGAAAAACTTGAAACTTGAATGCAAACTATTTATTGTATGTGCTGGTCATCCAAGAGTCTCAGACATACCTTGCCTGCCAAATCATATTTCCAGAATAAGATGATGTTCTTCTTAAGTTACTTTGGCTTGGATTGTGCATATTTTTTCCTGTTCTCAAAGTAATAGAGTTCCATATACAGACACGTTTCAGAGCAGTTTTCAGAATTCTTTTTTGTATTCATTAAGCTTGTCGGTACATTTTAGGTATACATTATGATCACGTTCATCATTGGGATTTTGTACCTATACATGATATACCTTGGTTTGTTTTTTTTTCCCATTCCCCTTCCTTCTCTTCCACCCCTCCACCCCTCCCTTGGTGTAAAATTCTAAACTAAACATCCACTGAAAAGTTTGTCATTCAACTCCTAGGGAGAGTCACAGAACCTGCTGGAGATACATATGTCTGCAATCCTTGTATCTCTTTATACATTCACCTGCCAATATATCGTTCACATCTCTATATGGCACTTTTATTTCTTCGGTGATACTCCAAAGAATAGGATGTTCTTTCTTCTGTTAGGTGATTTTAAGATAAATCACTTAACTATTTTCTGTCGATGAACAATTACATCTTTGTTTTTTGCTATGTGAAAATAAATGTCTGGATTTGTGTGTCTATATATTTATATCCACTCCTATGCTCTAGATAAGCTATGTCTTTGGGCACTTTTGTAAATATTTCCTTAGAATAGGTCATTACATGTAACTTCTGTTAGCATATAATATACAGATTAAAGTTGAATTTACAGAGTGAATACAAATAGTGTGAAAGTTTGTATATATTCAAAATTTATAATACTATGCAGGTTATAAATAGGTATTGAGTTCAGACCCTTTAAATAAACATAAACAACCACATTGTCAAATATGAACCAAAATATTAAGGAAGGGGGTGGGAAGCCTCCAGGTATTTTTGTAAGTGTATGATTGAAGAGGTAATAGTGAGGTTGGACCATTTTATAAGTTTATTGGTCATTTTTCTCTTTGCTGGAAGTTGCCTTTTCATCCCTTTATCCATTATTGCTTTGTGATGGCTAAGCCTATGTTTTGGGTAGGTGGCTGTTGTTGCTCAGCTTTTCTGTCACTATAATGAATACTGAGGTAATCAACATATGAAAAGGAAGGGTTCATTCTGGCTCACAATTTTGGGCGTCCCAGCCTATTATCAGTTAACCTTGTTACTTTGGGCCGGTGAGAGGAAGCACATCATAGTTGGAGTGCACAGAGAAGCAAAACCATTCTCCTCATGGCAAGGAAGCGGAGAAGAGAGAAAGCAGGGTCCCACAGTCCTCTTCGAGAACATACTTCCAATGACCTCACTCCTCCGACTCAGCCCAACCATCTCCCCACAGTGCCAAGATGGTGACCAGGCCTTCAACTCCTGGGCCTTGGACAGAGATCCCAGAATCCAAACTATAACAGTAACAGACAGGGACCTCTTGGTTATTGATATGTGGTTATTTTTCCAGATAACAGAGTCACTTTGACTTATATACAGTGCAGTTCCTGTACAGAATGAGTGAAATCTTCAAATTTTCATTTCTTATGGTCACATCACCCCCCAGAAAAAACATCTACCACAGCAGAGTTCTGCAAAAAAGTCACTCATTTTGGGGGTGCCGTTGTAGTCTGTTTACTACACACAAATCTTTCATATATGTGGAATGCAGTTTGATGCATAGAGCGAGGTTGGAATCCTGTTGTCATCTGAAACCTTCACCCTTTCGTGGTTACCTGGCAAGCTCGCATCAGGATTTCTGCATCTCCCCATCTGGTACTTCTCTGGCTTTAGCGCTGTGCTGTCTATCTAGTCCAGATTTCTGTCTATTCTGTCTTTTGTCGCAATTTCACAGCAGCCTATGTTCCAGTGTCTCCTCCTGTACAAAATTTCTCATTTCATTATTTTCCTGGCTCTTCTTCCCATCCAGATGAATTTTAAAAGTCAACAAAGGGAATCTGTCTGTGGATGTTTTGAATTTTTATAAATCAATTCAGGCAGGATCAACATTTCTACAATATTGTGTCATCTCAGTGACAAATTTATGACTTCATTTTCTGAAGCACTTTAGTTTTCTTCAGCGTTATGGTTTTCTCCACATTTTTCACTCACAGAACTTTCTAAATTTACTCCTGGGAAAGTAATAATTTTGTTTGCTACTGTGAATGCAATTTTCTTACACAGTATTTTCTGGGCATGATTTAGATATATGGTAAGAACTCTTTTATTTAAGTATCTTCTTTAAACCTTTAAAACTTTTTTTGTAAGACTTTCTAGTGATTAACAATTTTGTGAGATTTTAAAGCATTTTGACCATACCTGAACATTTCTATTTATTCTATTTGTGCTTAGAAATGTTGTTATAGGGGCCAGGGATTTAGCTCAGTGGTTCTGCCACC